TAGTATTAACCAATCGTCGATGTAATTCAAAATGCGAATGCCCTGGAGTCGCAATGGAGCCAGTGCTGCATCCATGCATTTTGTGTACGTGCGGGGTGATAAGGCTAGGCCGAATGGAAGAACCCGAAATTGGTATGCTTCGCCCCCGAAAGCGAACCTCAGGAACTTCCTGTGTTGTGGCAATATTTGTATGTGAAAATATGCGTCCTTCAGATCGATCGTGACGAACCAATCGTGATGTTGAATTTGCGACACGACCGTCTTGACGGTTAACATCTTGAACTTGAGCGCTTTGACTGTACGGTTTAAGCCTCGAAGATCTAAGATTGGACGCAACCCCCCGTCCTTTTTGGGGACCAGGAAGTATCTGCTGTAATAGCCTGACTCCCTCTCTGGCAGAGGAACATGTTCTATGGCCTCTTTGCTCAGAAGAGTTTGTAGCTCTTGTGATAGTACATGCATCAGCTCCGGTCTTACGGAAGTGGAGATCACGCCGTTGAAACGTGGAGGACGATGAATAAATTGGATTCTGTATCCTATTTGTACTATGCTTAATACCCAAGCAGAAATGCCTGGCAGAAGTTGCCACGCTGCCAGACTCTCTGATAGTGGTATCAGTTTTAATACTTCCTCTTGAGGGGATGTTAGATGTTCCGTGCCCTGGATGAAAGCAGGGAGCAACGGAACATCTAACATTTCGCTGGAAACCGCTGCCCCCCGAAGCACCAAAGGTGGCGGGGATGGAGAGGTTTTGTGAGGGTAACGAGAAGGGGCGGTCAGATATAATACGCGCCCCGTCCCGCGGGGGGCTACCCCCACCAGACTGGGCGCCAGACCATCAGGACTTCTTCTTTCTGTTGATGATAGTCCTGAGGTCTGGCTTGGGAGGTTGCTGAGCCTGACGAGCCTGTCTCCAGTTCTTACTAGGAGGAGCACGGCTCGCCACACTCTGCTTTTTAACCTCCCTAGGTTTTGAAGGACCAGGGAGAGGTTGGGTGGCCGATGGCCCCTCCCCTTGAGTGCGGCGAGGAAGGAACTGAACAAACGCCTCCTCATGCTTCTTGACCTCCCTGAACCTGGTGACTACTGAGTTGACGAGTCGCCAAACAGGCCAGAGGGAGAAACTGGAGAGTCAAGAAGAAAGACACAATCTTTATCTTTGATGCCTGTGAGGTTGAGCCACAGATGCCTCTCCGTGCTTAGCAAAGCGGACATAGAACGGCCGATGGCACGGGCCGTTTGCTTAGTGGCACGAAGAGACAGATCTGTGGCTCGGCGCAGTTCAGAAAACGCTTCCACATCTATCGTTGTACCCGCACTCAAGTCCTTCAAGAGGTCAGCCTGGTATGCCTGTAACACAGCCATTGTGTGCAGCGCAGCACCAGCCTGACCTGCAGCTTGGTAAGCTTTACCCACAAGCGAAGATGTTATTCTACACGGCTTTGAGGGGAGGGTAGGTTTTTTAAGCGAAGATGCAGACCCAGGCGAGAGATAGCTGGCGAGCGTCTCTTCAACCTGGGGCATCTCCGCATACCCTCGCGCCTTTGCACCCACGATAGTCGAAAAAGTCGACGTCGAAGGCACGAAGACACGAGAGGTATATGGTTTTCTCCATGATTTAGATAGCTCATCATGGAGGTCCTCGAAGAAGGGGAGAGACTGATGTTGAGGTCCCTCCCCCCTGCCACCGGACAAAAACCTATCCTCAAGCTTACTGCGTTTGGGGGTCTCTTGTTCGCGAGGCCAGTCAAGCTGCAATCTGGCCACCGCGCGAGTAACCACCTCGAGAAGCTCCTCGACAGATTTATCGTCGCGCGAGGAACGCTCAGAAGTTGGCTGCTCGAAGTCCGTAGACCCAAGAGATTCATTATCGTCCCCCGCGTGAGCCGAAGAAGCACCGGGATGCGCTTCGGGATCACATGAGGGAACGAGTGGATCTGGTGAACAAGCAAGCGAAAGGGACGGACCCGTCTCTTGCTCGTCAGCCAAATCCATTCGGGAGCCCCATGATGATAATGCGGTTGCGGACTGAAAGTAGACAAGACGAGCGCGAAGCATTTTAACAGTGAACAGCTCACAATGCTCGCACTCCCCTGACTCCAATGCAGCGGCCGCATGCTCCTCCCCCAAACACACAAAGCAGTAAGCGTGTGTATCCAGTTCTGACATGGGTCGAGAACATGGAGGGACACAGCGCTTAGCTTGCTGACTCATTTCTCTTTTTGCTTTTTAAACTCTTTAAATGACGTTAAGAGATGAGAAAGAGTGAAAATTCTGCACACTGTCAGGTATAAAGCTAAATAACTCCGAAGCGGAGTGACCGGCCCAGGCGTGGGTGGCATAGCGGCCCGGTGCGGGGGCACGGTCATGCTCCGCGTCCTGACAGAGGAGACCAGGGAAGGACCAGCGTTCCACGGGGGTCTGCTCTGCCAGGGGTCTGGCGACAGAGGGGGACGAGAGTGGTGTGGTCCGGAGACGGCACACACTGTCATCCGCGCCCTCAGAGACAGAGGGGGACGAGAGCGGCAAGGCCCGGGAGCGTTGCGCACTGTCGTCCGGCCCTCTGAGGGCTCAGAGATGGGATGCAGCTCTTTGGTTTAGAAAAGATTCTCCCCCAGCCCTCCACCGGGGGAAGGAGTGGCCCTGCAACCACTCCCTGAAGAACTGCAACCCACATCTGAGCTGCCCGTAACGGGAGCGCCGCAAGCCTGGCCTTGGCGGGGCTGCGGGACCGGTACGGGCAGGGGCGCCTTCCTGCGACCACCTCCACGGCGCGGCCCGGTGCTGCTGGCCGGGCGGGAGGGGGCGGAAGTCGCAGGAGGGCGCATTCGGCAGCAAGCGGACTGAGGCGGCAGCTGGAGGCAGCAAAGCCGCGGGGTCAGACAAAATAGCCACAGTCCACTTCTGGGCGGCCGAGAACTGTTGGGCAGAGTCCTCGACCGCGCCGCCGAAGAGGCCAGCCTGGGATATGGGGGAGTTGAGGAAACGAAATCACTCAGCCTCGCGCACATCAACCAGGTTAGCCAGAGGTGTCTGACCACCTATGTGGACATCACCTGACTCAGGGAGCGTGCGGTCACCTACGTCGCTCGGAGAGCAAGGTCGGTGACGGCAGGCAGCTCAAGGATGAGCCCTGAATCAGCCCTACCCTCGTGCATGTCATTGAACACCCAGGAGGATGGCAATAACACGCAGTGAGGTGGCAGCCTGCCCCGCAGCTCTATAGGTCCCCGCCACCGGAGTAGACAAGAACCTACAGGCATTGGAGGGGTGCTTAAGAGTCGCCACGCCAGGTGGAGGCGCTGTGGGGACACATAAGTGTTGCCACAGAACACTCCACAGGGGGAACCCCAGTGCACCCTAGGCCGCGGCCTCTACAAGGGCAGAGAAGGCGGAAGAGGCCACTGAGCAGTCGCGAAAAGTCAAGAAGACTTCCACGATCTCATGATCTCTTCATGCACGTCCGGGTAGAAAGGATTTGGGTTCGCCACCCCCAAAAACCAATCACCCGGGAAGCATAGCTGTGCACTCTGGATCAAACTCGTTATGCTAGCACATCCGAGGACGGCAGCACAGACGAGCCATCATCTCTAGAGGACTCCAGCTCACCTAGTGATGCGGTGATACATGATTTCATCAGCCGGGGTACCGAATGAGACCGCGGGCCCGCGGGCGGGCCGGCGAACTCACCTGGGACCACGCAGGTTGCAATGTGAAAGACGGGGTGTGGACCGAGGAATTTTTCATCGGTTTAGTTCCAAACCTGCCGTCTTAGGTCACCCTGGCCACCAGCCGAAGTATTATCTCACGTGGAGAAAAATAGATCGGGGTGTGGATGAGGGGACTCTCACTCATTGAGCTCATCGAGTCTCGACCGTTACATTGCGATGGTAACGTTCCCAGAGAGAGAACGTGACACACCCACGAGCGCTGTCTGAGCGTGATCAAAGCCCAAACACTCAAAACAGCGCTCGCGCCCATCAGCTGAATCTATCAGAATACCACACTCAGAAAAACATGGGCAGATCGTCTTTAGAAAGACGCGTCTTTAAAAAGACGTGCCGCGTGCAGCTCTTTAGTGAGAGGAAAAACTCCGCGGATGTTGAAGCGACCAGGGAGAACACACAGACTGGCAGACCACTGCTCAGCTCGCAGGCAATGTGAAACTCGCTGGATACCGCCGTCACACCAACACCGGAGAGTTCGCTCGTCTCGAAGAGATGTAGTCACTGAAGAAAACTCAGGATTTGGCTTGTGGAGTGAAGAGATGCTCTTGGCTCCGAAGCGAAAACATGATCTGCTGTTGCAGGTGTCTCTCCTTAAATACCCACGCGGTGGGGCGGAGATACATTATGCAAATTCCGCAGACCCATGGCATTTCATTGCCATAGGCTCGTTTTTTAATACTCGAAGATGATAGGCTTTCTGGCGAAACCCCCATTCTCCGTCATCCGACGTAACTCGGAGTGACTACGAAAGGGAACTGGACGGTGCCAACACAAAGAAAAGAATGAAACAAAAGGATCTTTCTCACCCGTTTCAACTAAACCTACCTAATACAAAAGAAAAATGTAGAAAGAAAAGTCTTCATCGTCCGAGACGTCATACACTTCCCTACTCTATCTATCAACACAGAAATGACAGCGAATGGCACATGCTCCTATAAACCTAGTGTGTGTAAACTAAATACACCAGAACTAAGTGTGCCGATGTACGTCACGCGACAAAACTTCCCTTTTCCTCTATCCAGCGTTACCGCTCTCAAATACTCAATAATAAAGGAAAGTAAAGTAATTTGGTTTCACATGATAATCTTAACACACTAACAAAGCTAATAAGTAATAACCAAAAGTACAAATAAATGAAACCGGAACAGGTATAGTTTTTCAAGGTTATAACTCTGTACAAATAAAGCCCATCGCATCAGCCGTTGATTAGCATTATACATACGGGAAAGTAAAACAAGGGAGTTGTGATCGCTATAGACAATAGTGGGCCGGATGGAAGAGCCTAAGGAAACTTCACAGAACTGCAAGAAAAACAACAACGCCAAAGTTTCCTTTTCAACTGTCGAGTAATTCCCTTGATGTTTATCAGACTTACGGGAGAAAAAGCACTGATGGTCCACATCCTCGCCGTCTAGAAGCAAAACTGCTCCAGTAACTCCATGTATCCGCGCTCGCATCAACTTACAACTCAAAGAGCGATCGAACTCAGAGCAGCCGAAACTGGGGCTTTACAACAGAGCTTTAACACTCTCAGATGCAGTCGAGAGCAACAGTGAGGAAAATATCATGATTTAACTTCTGTTTTTATCATAATGATGACTGAGATATACTGTGTTTCAGGCACCAGTGGAGTGATTGTGTGTTCATCAGTTCTGGTGTAAATGTCTCTCTGTCCTGTAATAATGCTCTTCCTGACTGCAAATCAACTTCATGGATCTACTCTAACATATTCAGACATTCAGGAGCAGTTAAACTGATTACTGGAGGGATAAAGAATAAAGACACAGAGAGACATGAGAGACTGAGTCTGGAGTCTGACTGCTCTCTGAACATCAAGAACGTCACAGGAGAAGATTATGGATATTACAGATGCAGACAATATGTGAATGGAGAACAACAAGGACCTGATGCTGATGTTTATCTGCATGTTCTTCATGGTAAGTTTATGATTATGTGGTCAATTTAAAAAGGGCAGATTCTCCCTTTAAACTCAGATGATGATTGAAGAGTCTGTGATTTGTGTCTTGTGTTAAGTTTCAGTGTCTTCATCATCGTCATCATCATCATCATCTTCATCTTCATCTTCATCCTCACAGACTGAGATCAGTCCAGGCCGCTCTGTGACTCTCTCCTGTCAGTTGTATTTATATACTAGATTCTCCTGTGATGATTGGGTCCGTTCTGCGGGAGTTGAGCTGTTGTGGGTGAATCAGGCTGGTGTTGATCTGAAGACAGACTCCAGATATCAGATATTATCATCATCATCATCTCCAGATCACTGTCTCATCACTCTGACTACAACACTCCTGGATGAAGATGCCAACAGAGAGTGGAGATGTCAGCTTACTCACAGAAAGCAACTCCAGACCTCAGTCAGATACACTGTCAAGTATTCAGGTGAGAAAACAGTGTTAGAAGAGCCTCATAATGTCAGGAACACTGAGGTCTATCAGTATCACTGAACCAGAACAAACTGAGGGAACAAAAGCTTCTCTGACTCTCACAGAAGAGGAACTCAAAGCATTGCTTCAAACTAATGAACTGCAGTGAATTAACAGTCCAACCTGTTCACTCTTTATGTGATGTGATGATCAAAGTTAAAATATGATGGTCATATTGTACAGTATTAATCATCTGAACTAACATTGATCTTCACAGCTCAAGCTGATTCAACGACAGCAGTGAATCCAGTCCACATCACACACTCTCAGGATCACTCAGTGGTGTAGTCTACGTGATACGCAGGTATACGCCGTATACCCACTAGGAAATGTCAAAGATCTCCGTATACCCTCTTTAAAAAGCGTGAGGATTCGTAACAACATCGTTTTGTGAAAGAACTTTCATTCATAAATTCACCCCGCCGCCCGCCCGCCCGCCGTGACGTCTGTGTTTGCGCAGCGACACGGATCGAATCGCGGAATCCAGCAACAAAATAATGTAACTTAGCTGTAAAGCGTAACGTCGCGCAATTTGGCCATTTTTGAATGAACAAATCAAAAGTAATGATACAATGAATCAAATCTCGATATGTATTAAGTGTCTATGAATATTAAAGCATGTTCTGCGTGTTTCTGTGAATGAGCGCTCAATGTGTGCTCTACTACACACTGAAGCGCGCGTGACGCGTTGTGTTTTCAGCGTCTATGATGAGGACATGCACACATTTGAACTTCATCGCAGAGCTTTTATGAGAGTCACATCACAAGAATTTTACCATTTCATTTGATAAAACTATCATCATTCATTCGTATCATATACACTCACTCACAAACTAGTCTTCATGACAACCTGTCAAAATCAAAGTTTTGTATAACTTGATGAAAATATAACAGAAATATATTAATATTGCACAGTAGAGTATACTTCAAGTAGGCCTAATAATAATAATAATAATAGTTTATTAAAACACACAGAAGCTCAAATGTCTTTAATTTACAACCCACCAAAATAAAAGTTTGTAGAGAGAAATAAAGTAACTCGAGGGAATTATGCAAGAAATTGCATAGTAAGATGTACTTTTTAAAATAATAATAATCAAATCTATTAAAACATAATTTTAAAGGAATATCACTCACGTTTTTAAAAAGTAAATTTTTATTTGTGCTTAATGTTTTAAGGGGGGTTGGGGGGGGGGGGGGGGGTGGGGTTGGGCTGGTATATCACAGTATACTCACTACAAAAAACTAGACTACACCACTGGGATTCCTCAACTATAAACACACACGTTTCTAAAGGTACATCATCACTGTCTTTCTCACATCAGTGCTTTTCAGTGCGTAATGCTAGAGTTATCTTCAGTGTTCACTCATCAACATATGACGGTCATATTCTACAGGATGATTGTCACATTGAGTTGTTGTTTTAGTTTCATTTCATGGACTTTTATGGTGTGTGTAATTAGCGCACTTATGCATATTCTATGACATGTTCAGTATAAACAGTGCGAGTCGTGTGTTCATATCACACTCCGGTTCTTTCACTCGATTCTCCCAGAAAGCATCAGATGAAGACGATATGTTGAGCTCATCCATGCAGTGCATTCACTGTAGAGACATGAACAACACCAAACACACATAAAATACTGCTAGTCCAGTCACAACATTACCACAAAACACACATGTAAAAGTAAACAAAACAAATATACAAAAAAAACCCAGAGAAACACAAAATAAGCCATACAGTCGTAATGAGCTCAGCAACAAGTTTAACATATGTGACCCTGGACCACAACACCAGTCTTAAGTCGCACGGGTATATTTGTGGCAATAGCCAACAAAACACTGTATCGGTCAAAATTGTCGATTTTTCTTTTATGTCAAAAATCATTAGGGTATTAAGTAAAGATCATGATCCATGAAGATATTCCTACCTTAAATATATCAAAACTTTATTTTTGTAAGTGGTTGCAGCACAATCGCCAACAGAAATGGAAACCTTTAAAGGCGATTTTCTCAATATTTAGATTTTTTTAACAGCTCAGATGAAACTGAAGAGAAAATGGCCGACTTCACTTATTTACTCTAATGCTCAATTCGTCTACTTATACTACGCCCTAAAAGTATTTACTCTTTTTGGGAATAAACTAGTAGATGCTTTTGAGCGTGTAGCAGAAGAGTACACAAGCTTTGGGACACACTATCACTTCATACAATCGCGTCTTTAACGGTTGCTCTCTTTCGTTTAGTTACACTCATCCTGTCACACAAACGGACCTGTCAATCATCTTATCAAAGACAAAATTCTCCACATTTAATTTCCTACTGTATCGTAGAGAAATGCAGAAGCGTTGATCTGCAGTCGCGGGTCTGTCATGCGGAGACTCTCCTCATATTAATGCAGAATGATGCATTTATAAGTTAATGGCCAAACGGATCTTTACAAAAGTTGTTATTGCAATTTTTTTTGCAACAATTGTTATTGCAGATGAAATATAAAAGGAATAACATGAAATAAATATTTTATTAGCAGGTTAAACTTTGATGAGTCACTCAAACCTTTATCTAAACCTCTCACCGTTGGTCGCGCATATCCGCCATGTTTTGTAGTTTTTGTTTTACACTTTTTACTCATGTTTGTAGTTTTGAACCAAATCCTCCTCCAAAGCGCAATGGGTTGTGGGTAATATCAGCCGTTATAGTGAGTACGGATCGAAAACACACCAGGAAAACTAGACCATCCGAGGACTTCTGGCACACTCTTCAACACACTACGCTTTGGGACACTTATTTTAATCTCACACACTGTTTAGGAAGGATAGTGTGGACATTGAGACGCAGGGCGAGGCTGTGTTTACCTCCACTCTTTATGCTCATCCCTCGCTAATGTTGCACGAGTGTCCACTACTGGGGAACTCTTGGGCTGTTGGAGAAAATATATTTAAAAAATCTCAAAATAAGTCCAATATCATACTATATAGAGTTGTGTGGTGTGACATAATGCCGCAATGCATGCTGGGAGCCATGAGTTTAATATAATGTGTGAGCATACCATTCATCCATTGACAAGTTACCAGCACAACCTTGCAAAACTGTAAAAACCTCTCATTTACACATAGGATGTGATTCAAAGAACAAACTTTTCTAAATAAGAGCTCATCAAGTCTATAGTTAGCCTACCTCTTATAGTTAGCCTAACGGCTAAGATGCTAAAGGACTTTTTCAAAGACACTAAACCATTTCTGTAACCGAAATATTCAACAGAAGCGTATCAATTACATGTAAGAAAGTGTCAGGAACAGTTGTGTGTATTATTTGTGTAACTTTAGGGAATAAACTGAAAGCCGTGAAAACAACAGTGAACGTCTCGGTTACGTATGTAACCCTAGTTCCCTGATAGGGAACGAGACGCTGCGTCAAACGCTGTGGGAACGCCCCTCCGTTGTGCGTCATGAAGCACGTATGGAATCAGCCCAATGGAGAGACGGAACGTCATAGGCGGGTGACGTCATCGACCAGGAAACTATAAAGCACCCCAAAAACACAAGCGCATCAGCTTCTGATAGGCCTGAAGGAAGCGCTAACGGGAATTCCGGGAGTATGGCAGAACAACGCAGCGTCTCGTTCCCTATCAGGGAACTAGGGTTACATACGTAACCGAGACGTTCCCTTTCAAGGGAACTTCGAGCTGCGTCAAACGCTGTGGGAACGCGAATACCCCCGTCGCCATAGGACCAAGTGACCGTCATGTGAGAACTAGCGCACAGAGGACGAGAGCACCTGTGCCCAAGGGGTAGAACTTAAGTCTAGGTCATAGAACCTAACAAAAGTATGCGGTGAAGACCATCCAGCCGCATCACAAACATCACTCAGGGAAACCCCCGACAATAAAGCTTTGGAAGCAGCCATACTCCTAGTAGAGTGGGCTCAAACATCCAAAGGTGAAGGCTGACCAGCCGACTCATAAGCAAGTGAGATAGCCTCAACCACCCACTTGCTCATTCTCTGTTTAGACGCAGGACACCCTTTCCTGGGTGGCCCGAAACATACAAATAGTTGTTCTGATTTGCTCCACAGGGCAGCTCTGTGGACATAAGCGTCTAACGCCCTAACAGGGCAGAGTAAATTAAGTTTCTCCTGGTCCGATGACATAAATGGAGGAGGACAGAAAGCCTGCAGAACCGTAGGTCTAACAACATTAGTAGGGACCTTAGGAACGTACCCTGGTCTAGGATGCAGAAAAACCTTAACCATGCCAGGCTAAAATTCCAGGCACGAGGGAGAAACCGACAGAGCCTGCAAATCTCCGATTCTTTTTAATGAGGAGATAGCAAGTAAAAAGATAGTTTTAAAAGTGAGAAACTTCTCAGGAACTTCTTCGATAGGTTCAAAAGGAGCTGGGGAAAGACCTTCCATTACAATGGCCAGATCCCAGGTCGGCACCCTCGTACGAACCGCTGGCCTCAGCCTCAAAGTGCCACGGAGGAAACGAGTTATAAGCGGGTGTCTCTCAAGAGAAACTCCACTGAAAGGGACGTGGTAAGCAGCTAGTGCCGCCATATACACCTTTAGTGTGGAGGGGGATAACCCTGTGGAGAAGCGCTTCTGCAGGAATTCCAGCACTGCACCCACTGGGCAGTTAACTGGGTCCTGCAGGTGTTCTCCACACCAAGAAGTGAAAAGTTTCCACTTCAAGGCATAAAGCTTCCTCGTGGATGGAGCTCTGGAGTGAAGGACGGTCTCAACAATCTCGGTTGAGAGACCGGAATCTAAAAGCTGGGCCCCCTCAGAGGCCAAGCCCACAGTTTCCATAACTCTGGGCGGGGGTGAAATATTATGCCGCCCGCCTGAGAGAGTAGATCCCTCCTGACCGGGAGCTCCAAAGGAGAGCCGTCCAGGAGAGAAACCAGGTCCGCAAACCATACTCGGGCCGGCCAGAACGGGGCTACTAATAGTAGGCTGACCCCGTCCTGGCGAACCCTCTCCAGAACTCCTTGTAGCAGAGCAATCGGGGGAAAAGCGTACAGACGTGACCTCGCCACGGCTGCACCATAGCGTCCAACCCCAGAGGGGCTGGATAACTGATGGAGAACCACAGACAACAGTGCGATATCTCCTTGGAAGCGAATAGGTCCGCCTCGGCGCGACCGAAACTCAACCAAAGGAGCTCCACCACCTCGGGGGTGGAGTCTCCATTCCCCCGGCCTCGGCCTCTGCCTCGACAGGGAGACCGCTACCACATTCAAATACCCAGGAAGATGCATTGCTCTCAGTGATAGTAACTTCCCTAG